AGTGGGGCACCACGGCAGCAACGTGCAGCTGGGCAGGGCAGGACAGGAGCCAGGGAGCTGCCTTCCCTGAGGGCACAGCACCGAGCAGCCAGGGGACGTGTATAAACGATGGCACCATCAGGCGTCAGGAAAGGCAGGGCTCCCCAGCCCCAAGCGCCCTCTCTGGAGGCTGCAGGGGAGGAGGACGGCAGCCCACGCAGAGGTGAGTGCGCTGCCCACGCCTGGCGCTGCCCTCTGAACAACTCAGCCATGCGGGCTCGGGGATCTTAGCTGATAGGGATCTTGTGCATTCCCTCGGCTGCAGCCTCCCACGCAGCCCACTGCTGCCACGGGTGGGCCGGGGCCTTGGCGGGACATCCTGCGGGCCACCTGAGACGCCCCATTCTGCGGACAGCACCACCCACCTCTGGGCGTTTGAGCTCTGTAGGGCAACACCTGGTGAACACACAGCACAGCGGAAGGAGGGCAGGGGAAGCCCGGGCCCCAGGGAGCAGGGCCTGGCACTGCTGTGAAGCTCTGGAGAGTCTTGTGGGCAGCCAAGACGTGAGTGATACCTGGGAAGGTCAGTGGGAACCTGGCGCGGCAGCCTGGGCCAGCGAATGTGATCCCAGCACCCTTGGGACGTGGGGTTTGGGCACATTCTCATCCCACCATGCTCGCACAACTGGATACAATGGGGACCACATGGGATGGGATGGAAGCGCTCAGGAGGCTGAGGCAGCTGTGTCCCCCAGCACCCTGATACCCGTTTGTTCCAGAGGTTACCGGGAGCCCGAGGGCTATGCCCGGACAGCTGGTTCCCAAGGGCTCCCGGAAGCTCCGTGGGAAGCCCCGCTGCAGGTGGGACCCATCCCCGACCCACTTCTGTGACAGAGAAAGCAGCAGGTGCAGCAAGGGCTGGTGGGGCCTCCCTGCCCCCTTCAGACCATACAGAAATGGTCCTCACACCCGCACGGTGAGCACCCTACCCGTACCCTGCCACACACGCCATGCACGCCATCCCGAGGCTGCTGTGCTTCCAAACCATGAAGCCAGTGAGTGCTGGAGGGGACACCACACCCCTGAATGTGCTGGCACAGCTGTGGCACTCACTGGGCACTGCAGGAATGGCGGGCAGTGGCAACACAGGTGCACGTGGGCACAGATGAGGGCAGAGCCCTTCTGGATCCAGCAGCCCATGGGCTGTGCCAGAGCAGCATGGACATGGAGGCTCCTGGGAAACGGCAGAGCTTCGGAGGCCTGGCCCTGCAGAGGGCACATGGGGACCACGGGCACTGGCCAGTGCTTGGTAGGCACAACGGGCCAACGGATGTGGAAGGAGAGGTAGGAGAGGACACAGAACGGGCCAGAGCCACTGACGGGCGTCCACACAGCTGCCCACGGGCTGCTCAGTCCCCAGCTAACCAGGAGGCCAATGTTGCCACAGGTTTGTCCCCAGTCACCCGATGAAGCTGTCCACTGGACACACGTGAAATATGGGAGCAGAGGGCCCAGAGGGCTGGAGCATACCAAAGGCTACATCTCCGTCACTTTCCCAGCCGGGGACACAAACTCAACACCTACAACTAGAGGAGGAGAGGTTTGCCGAGCTCATAGTTCAGAGGTCCAAGTCCATGCGTGGTTGCTGGCAGAGGAAAGCTGCTTGCTCACAGCCTGGGAGCTCCCCGCGAGGATGGAGGCGCCGGGTGGGAGGTGTGGCCTCCAGGTCCCACCAGTGGCCAGTCAGCCATGAGCACACTGCAGACGAATCCAGCACAGCACCCCGAGATCCAGCCACCCTCCCAGAGTCCTGCCTCGGAGGGCGAGATTCTGCATTCACCTGTGCAGACACCAGCATGGCCCTCTTGCAAGGGTCGCTGGAAACAGGCCACGGGAGGCCACCGGCAGGGGACACCCAGCTCACTGTTGGGTCCGGCTGCCTCGGAGGAGTGGCTGTCACCTCCCTACTCCCGCAGCAGGGCCTGGCTTGATTTTCTTTAAAATGGGTTAAAACAATAGCTAAAAGGCTGAAATGAAGGCACCTGCGTGGGTGGGAAAAGGCACTTCCTGAAGCAGAAGGCCGGGGAACGAAAACTCTGTTGCAGGGTTGGGCTCCTTCCCTGGGACCCCATTCCACACAGGCCACAGCCACCACAGCATGGCAGAGCCAGGCAGTGAGCCACCACTTCAGAAGACACCACCCCCGGCTGCAGGGCACAGACAGACCCAGCTGGCACAGAGCTAGGCGCTTCCTCCCCAATGGCTGGCATTTGTAATGCAGAGGGCGCCACACTGGCCGTGGGGGAAGTCACCAAGGGTCCTGCATGGTGCTGGCCTCGTGTGCCACACTGCCAGAGTGCCAGGCAGAATGTGCCTCCTGGGGTAGTCATGGTGCAGCTGCTCTGGATGCAACCAACCGCCTTCCCCTTGAGCCTGCACCTAGGGAGGGAACCTGCACTCGGCGCTGGGCGCCAGGACAAGGATCTGTAGCCATGCAGGTCAAGGGCCGCAGCAGGGAAGCCACTGCTACTGTGTTAACTGGCTACAGTGCACCAGCGAATCTGCCTCCTGAATGGGTGTCTCTGCACCTGTTGGCTGTGCCCGAGCAGGCCAAGCCCAAGGGCTCTTCTCCCTCAGGGGCAGTGACCATGACAATCACAGGAAGCCCAACTGCTGGCATGTGACCACCTCTCCAGCAGGGCATGCACACCCTGGAACATTTGCCCTTGTCCCCCAAATCACAGTAACTTCTTGAGGACCTTGGAACGAGAGGAGTGTCCTCATCGGATGCACACCCGGTTAGCTCCATTCCAGAGAAGTCACAGCAGGAGCCAGAGAGCAGGCAGGCAGGCGAGCCCTGACCCAGATGCCCCGAGAGGTGGGATGAAGAGCCAGACAGGGCTGCACTGGGCCAGCTGTATGCTTGTGCCCCGTGGGTCCCCTCCACCAGCACAGGTGGCTGCCAGCAGGAATGCAGGCCAGAATGGGACACACGGTGTCACCTACCAGCATCGGGGACTGGCACAGCGGGACACTCTTTGACCACATTAATGCCCCAGGCAGAGGCACTAGAGGCCTTCATTCAATTACGAGCTCTCGCCGCCGGCTTTACCGCCAATGACCAAGCTGTACACGAGGCCCCTCCTGCTCACCCCGGAACGAGCACAGGTGCAAGGGAACACTGTGAACAGAACAGCCCAAGGGTGGTGCTGAACCACAGCCACTCAGCCTTTGCCACCCTGCGTGCTCACTTGTCCCAGGGAGCCAGGCTGCCTCCTTCGATGGGGTTGGGGTCAGGCTGGGCAGAGGAGGGGCGGGAGAGGGTGAGAGAGCGTGGGCTGGGTGGGATGCAGGTGGGGACTGTCCTCTGAGCCAGCCGCAGCGCCCCGTCCCGCAGGGTCTGCCCCTCCTCACACACTGCCCGGCACCAGGCTGAGTGCCCAACTCGGTGCTTGGCAGGGCCCCGCAGGGCTTCCTGGTAAGGTGCGTGGGCGTGGGGCACCTGCTTCCCCAAGACCCTCCTTGCTGTGCTGTTTCACTCAGCGCCCTGTAAAACCAGGAGCCTGGGGGTGGGGCTCCCGGCACTGCAACCCGAAAGCCGCCCACTGCTGTGTAAGGGAGCCTGACGGACTCAGTCGCCAGGCTGCACTTGTTGACTTGTTCTGAGACATTATTTCTTTCATGTCTCCGAGAAATTTACACAACACCCCCGAGCGTCTCTTGACAGAAGCACGAATAAGTGACACCATGGAATATCATTTAGCCCTGAAGAGGAAGTCCCTGCTAACATAGGCCCCCTAATGGATGCGCCTGGAGGCCCCTGGCCAGGTAGCACAGTGGAAAAGGCAAGCGCCACTCAGTGCCTCCTACGTGAGACGCAAGCACTCCGTCCTGGAAACCAGAGACAGGCAGTGGGACGGTGTCTGCCAGGCTGGGAGGGAAATGGCTGTGTTCCGGGGACAGCGTTTCCACTTCGCAAGACAAGGGTCACAGGGGGCGGTGGTGCCGGCTGGGTTGCAGGCGGACCTCGTACCGCTGAGCTGCGCGCAGAGGTTAAAGTGGTGAATGCGGTCGCAGTGAGGTGAGTGTGGGCAGCACTGGGGCGGGCAAACGGGCACCCCGAGCACCAAACGTCGCCTGGAGGGGCCCAGAGCCTGGGCCGCAGACAGGGTAGGACGCGGGACACAAAGGGAGGTGCTGACCACCAACCCTGCACAAGCATAATAGGGAAACCGGAAGGGAAGGTGGGGCCCAGCCAGCCCTGGTGACCACACCTGTGATCCCAGCACTCGGGGAAGCTGAGGCAGGAAGAGCGCAAACTTGCCCAGCCCGGGCAATTTATCCAGACCCTGTATTTAACACGACTTTAAAGAGGGCTAGGGACTACTACTGGGTTCAGCCCCAGTAGAACGCGCACGCACACAAGCACGCGCACGCACGCACGAGAGCCCTGGAAGTTAGTGTGGACGTACTTACCGCCACTCAGCTGCTCAGTTACAAGTGGGTAAAAAGGCAATTTTGTGCTACGTATATTCATTCTGCAATGAGCTAAAAAATGAAAACTAAAGGGATGGGGTGGGGGGCCCGAGCCCGCGGTCCCGGGAAAACCGGCAGTTCCGACTGCAGGAAGACACGACACGCAGCTCACCGACCCGCAAGGACGCTCGGCGCCCGCGCGCAGCACCTACTTGGCTCCCGGACGCGGCGTCCGCGCCAGGCGAACCCTCGGCGCCACTGGGCGCAGTGCGCGAGCTCCTCGGAGGACTACGCGGCCTGGAGCCGAGCCGCACCCGAGTGCTGCCAGCCGCTGGGCCGGGCCACGCCACGCCACGCCACGCCTTGCCCTCGGGCTCCTAGCCCCGTCCCCGCCCCCCCGCCCCTC